CTTTCCCTTCAAAGATCCTTTGATTTCTTTTTAAGTGAGATAAAACCACAAAATAGACTACTAGACCAAGATTTCTGTCCAAAAATCTCTGATTTTGGTCTCTCAAAATTATGCAACAGAGAGGAGAGTGTGTCATGTCAATGTTTGCAGTGGATGCATAGCACCAGAAGTTTCTCCAGAAACTTTGGGGCGACTTTCACATAAATCTGATGCTTATAGTACTAGGATGATGATTTTCGAAATAGTTGGGAAAAGAAAACTATTGACACAGGAAATTGATAACTCATAGCAATACTGAAAAATGTTTTCCCCATTGGATTTACAGACAGCTGGCATTAGACGAGGGGCTGAAGCTGCAATACAATTTGAATAAAGGGGAAGAACTTGCAAACAGCATAGCTGCAAGGGTCATTGTGAAGAACAATACTGTGAAGGGCTATGACGAAGGAGACTAAGTATATATTTTTTAATTCATATGCATGGATGCATGTGCATCAGAGACGTAGACGCATGCATTGGATGGAAACAATATGCAGCAGTGACAAATTGGCATATTTTCAAGATGCCAAAGCCTTACCTTCGGAGTGATTTGCTGACAAAGAGAAGACATCTAAGTTCTAAATGAGCAGAATACTCAAGATGATGCACGTTCTCTTCAATCAACTTTCAAGATAGTGTGCAGATTTTCCTGTAAAATTCAAACGCTAAACAATGAATCTAGGTTCTCGGTGTTCTCATCAGTAAGGGAGTCCATAAATAAATATAAGATTTTAAAGGTTAAACTCTGAAGAGTTTCAGTTTGAGGTATTTTCACAACAAAGACCAGAAGCATTGTTTCATTTAAGATTCTTTTCAAACTTATTATGTGAATTTCGAAAAAAGCCCACATAAATGTCAAGCATGTTTTCAGGAAGAAGTTCCAAGTCATACCAGTTTAAGCTTCAAATCTGAAATTGCTCGGTGTCTCTGGTATGCAAAAAACTTGAGTGACTGAGAAAGGAAGAGAAAAGGAAGAAAGAAAAAATCAGTACAAAACTTCCACCTGAACCAGAAGTATGGTCAAGTATTTAGAAAACGATCTTACTCCAATTCTCTGCATCTCAAGAGATCTGGAGAGTGCTTTTCTTTTCGTTAGAAGGTTCACAGATATCAGTTTTAAAGGCCGTCGATAATTTTTTCCACGGTATATAATAATTGCATGGCCTTCTTTTAGCTTCTCCACTGAAACCAGAAGTCCGCCACTTTCTGCTTCAAGCGACGTTGCAGTATACATGACCTGCCAAAAATATCTCTGCATCGTAATTACCTTGGCTACTTCCCTGTGTTTCCAGTGCTGACGCAGGCCTTCAATTACACCATCAAAGATCCCTCGCCTGCCTGAAGTCAACAACAAACCGGAAAGAAGTGAGCGAGAATACACCTCATAAGGGCTGAAGCACAGACAATGACTAATACACCAGTTAAAGTGAATGCTACTTCAACACAAATATCCTGATCACTTTTAGTTTTTTACTGTTTCGTCTTCCTTATAATATCGTAAAATCAGTTTTAAGTTCCAGCCAGTAAGTTATAAACGCTAAGACGACAACGAAGTACGTATCCTTTTCAGCTATGACATTGGCCTAGTCAGTATTTTAAAATTCATACACCAAAGTAAAGGATTCTTGGAGAATGAAGCATATATAATTCAAGCCATTGAGTAAATACTGTAATCTTTTCCTTACCAAGGACAAGAACACTGCGCATCTTCAGTCCTATTTTCCGGAAACACTCCCTCTCTTCTTCAGTTAGCATTTCCTGGTCACCATCCCGCTCAGAAGGTTTCCACGCCGTATTCAACTTCAATAATTCCTTTGTTGACTTCTTTATTTTGCTGTTAAGCTGCAAAAGGTTATCAAAAATCAATAAAACAGCCAAATCACAGTCTAGTTTGCTCATTTTTTAAAAATGTTTGGGTTTGGCTTTATTTGGGCCAAGAAGAAAATAAATAAATAAATAAATAAATAAATAAATAAATAAAGCTTGTTATGCTAAAAAACCAAATGGAATTGACTACATCAAAACGTGGTCATGCAAGTCTGACTCAACTCGGTTTCTTTGAAGGGTATGTTTTACATCATATTTCTCTACTGTTGAATAATATGAGGGTTGGAAATAAATAAAAAAATAAAAAATAAAAAACAAAAGCCTTAACTCCATCTATATCATTTGGCTAGTAATTTGATCGTGGGATATGCAACGTGTTATTACATCTTAATTAGGTTTGTTCCCAAGGATCTAATCCACCCCCAGGTTCAGTCCTAGATCTTGGCAAGTTTAATGAGGGAAACAATCTCAGGATTTTCAGGTGAAACATCTAAAATTTTAATATAGCATAACTAGTAGTTTCACCAAATTCATTATAATAAAACCATTTCACTAATTAAAGTACAAAGGGATCAAATGAATAGGAAAAAAGAAAGAAGCTCTGAACCAATCCAAACTAATAATTGAAAAATCCCTGCATGGATACTTATAGAAAAATGGCAATAAACGTTTAGCAACTTTTTAACTTACAATCAAAAGTTTGCGTTCTTGTTTTCTGAGTTCGCTCTCTAATCTTTCTTTTTCGGCTTCAAATGGAAGTTTGACCTCTATGTTTCCCTTGTTCGAGTCCCCATACTCTATTTGAATATCATGGAATTCTGACAGAGTTCCAGCCGGGCTGGTTTTTTTTAGTGGTTCATCAGCTACAAAAACCTTCTCAGCCACTACTAGTCGAGCATGTTCTTCGTAGAGTTGGCAATATTCAAGCTCTGTTTCTCTTTTTGTTATTAACTCTGCAATTTGGTCGGGAAGGAAATCTTTGCCCCTGTAAAGTATAATGATAAACTTATTGCGAAGCAAAAGATCTCCTCCTGTGAGACACTGCATTTGTAAAATATCATTTTTAACAATTTTTAACATACATTGAAAACCATAACACAAAGATTGCATAATGTAGGCTAAATGCATTTACAATTTTACTTCGAGATAATAAGACAAAAGTATATTAATTGGTGTCCTAGAAAAAGAGGATTTCATATCCTAGAAAGAGAACCATTGTTGTGCTGTAAAAGACCTAAAGATTACTATTAAACGAGGAAAACAAGGAGCGATAGGACAAGAAGGATACTAGTATTTCTGGATAAAAGGGAGAATAAAATTATAAAATTTGTTTGACCAAATTTTCAAAATACGTCCACAAAAGAAAGAGGCCAAAATAGTTGTTAATTCATTCATATTGAAGCACAAAGGAGCAAGACTAAAAAGGAAGGCAAAGAAAATATAGAATATGACAATATGTGGAGTATAGCCGTAGATGGAGATGAGATGCCACAATTACAAAAGACTAATTTTGTAGTCAACGCTAATTAACAGATATGAAGGCTTAATTTGAGTTTAATTCACTGTTAGGGTGATTTACAAGAAATTAATTCGCTATTTTATGATCGGATCAGGGTATCATTCCCTTGGGAGACCAATAACTAAGCTACATTCCCCCAAAAGAAAGGAGCTTAATATACATCTAAGCCACCATGCAAAATTGACACTGTCAGTTTTTGTATAGTACGATTCTTGCCTTAAGTTCATATGCCATCTGCTCATTGTTTGTGTTTGGAACTCCCAACTTCACAGCGATCTTTGCTATGTGACATTTCTCCCACAATTTTAAAATGGCAGCAGCCAGGCCTTGAAGCTTTCTGTTCCTGCCTTCGGAAATTAACAGGAAAAATAATTAAAAAAAAAAAAACAAAAAAACAAATTTCAAGTAAATATGCATAGCCAAAGTGTGTGTTCATATTGTGCATAATACAACAACAACAACAATAAGCCTTAATCCCAACTTAATTGAGGTCGGCTATATAGATTCACTTTTCTACGCAGCTCTGTTCGAAATTAGACTTTCCTGAAAGCCTAGATCTAGAATGTCTTTCCTAACTACTTCGGTCCACGTAATTCTTAGTCTACCCCTCCCTCTCCTAGTATTAGGTATAAGAATGTCCTCCCAAGCAAGAACTGGTGCTTCTAGCGGTCTACGTTGGACATGCCCGTACCACCTCAAGCGGCCTTCGCGTACCTTATCTTCTATTAGTGCTACACCTACTTTACTACGAATAACTTCATTCCTTATGCGATCTATTCTCGTATGGCCACTCATCCATCTTAAAATGCGCATTTCTGCCACACTCATCTTAGATATATGTTGTCTCTTAATGGCCCAACATTCACTACCATATAACATAGTTGGGCGAATTGCAGTCCTATAGAACTTTCCTTTCAACTTAATAGGCATTTTGCCATCACATAAAACTTCCGTAGCATTCTTCCACTTAACCCACCCTGCCTTAATCCTATGTTGAATATCATCTTCTATCTCTTTCGTACTGCACTATAGACTCAAGGTACCTAAACTTCTTAGAAGCCCCAATCTCCACACCATCTAAAGAAATTCCATTACTCTGATTACTTGAGTTACTAAACCTACAATGCATGTATTCAGTTTTCGTCCTACTTAACTTAAATCCCTTCGTCTCGAGAATCTGTCTCCACAGTTCTAACTTACAGTTAACTCCTTCCCTATGTTCATCAACTAAAACTATTTTGTCTGCAAAAAGCATACACTAAGGAACTCTATCTTAGATTTCTCTTGTCAGTTCATCCATCACAATGGTGAAAAGATAAGGCCTAAGAGGAGATCCTTGATGAAGGCCGATCCGAATGAGGAACTCTGGCGTGTAGCCTCCAGCAGTTCTCACACTTGTGACCACCCCATCGTACATGTCCTTAATTACCTTGATGTTTATGATATCAAGATTATGTGCCTAAAGACTAAATGTGTTCAGCTCCAATTTTATCAAACAGCCCTGATACAGAAACGTAGAGATAAAAACGTGGCAAGAGGATTTACTTCTTTAAAAAAATAAAAAAGCTTTTTTTTTTTTTTTTTTTTTGTGTACGCATTGACAGGTTATTATCCTAAAACAGATTATTTTCTTTCTTCTCTGAGGTAGTTCTTTTTTTCAGTAAGCAATATTCTTCAGCTTTGCATGTTATGTATGGTCTATTGTCTTAAAATGATCATTGGCACAATTCATCTAAACTTAGATAAACTAAACATCCTAGTTTCTCACCTCCTATTTTCTAAATTAGTCTATGTATGTGAACATAAATAGATCATAACTCCATAATTTATTTATTTATTTTTGATAAAAACTGGATAAATATTGAAAATCAAGTCTTGTGGGCCAAAAAAAGAACTGATGTGTTACAGCGGACGATGTAATACCAAGAACAAAATGAGTAGGTAACGAGTGAGCAAGCTTCCTTAAATATGTCAATTCTTCATCTGTCAACTTTGATCTAGTATGTGGTGGACAACGTCTAAATGGAGGCCTAAATCCAGGAACGACTTCGGGAAGCAAGTCTGCATCTACTGGCAAAGGTTTGTTCATCCACCAATCAATGAAGCGAGGCCCTAAACCATCAAGTAATCTATCAGCTTCCCTCACATACAATGAACTGCTTGGTTGGAAATTGGCATCATTTTTCAAAATGATCGCAGTTGGGATAGTCTCCCCTTCAGTATTCTTTTTGCTTATTTTTCTTTCTATGGTATTTTCATAAGATTTAACTTCAGAAACACTGTTTCCTTTTCTGGAATCCAGCTGAACAAGATTGGAGAATGGTGTTTCTTGGTGCCCAGAAAAGCCAGCATATGTCCTTGGAAAGGTTTTCGAAGTCGGCTGATAATTGCAGCCTCTATAAATAACTTGAGCATCTTTCCTTCTCCAGACAACCAAACCTCCAGTCTTCATCTGGGTATTGACGAAACAGTTTTATCACCAACAATAATGAGAAAGAAAAATTCATGAATGAAAGCAGTGTAATACATAAAATGTCAGGAACCTTTTCCTATTTTAGTTTGTAACCTAGTTAAAAAATCTATACCCAAGAAAGGAGTGAGAGTTTAGATGAATTTCAATGCATTGATACCAAAGAAGGAAATTAAAATCCATTGAACATAAGCATATGTTTCAATGAGAAAAATGCAGCAAAACTATTTGAAAACACAAAAGGCGTAGTATTGAGTAATTTGGACCCAAATTTCCCGCGGCAGTAGAACTTCCAACTTCATATACAACAGGAAGGGTCACATTGCCATTCACCCAACACTATTCCCTTTTCTTTTCTTTTGAGCAAATTCAGAATTAAGATCAAAATGGTCGGAATGCCATTAAAAGGTTTCTTTACTCTATGGGCATGTTTTCCAAACAGTAATGGAACGAAAAGGTAACAGGTTAGGAAAGAGGATTAAGCATGGAGATCATTGATTCCCTTTCTAATGCTCACTTATCCATCAGCAACTGGAATATCCAATTCCCTTTCTATTATTTTCTAAACTTAAGAATATAAATTTTATCATGTATATCATTTTGCATAATTACATAATCATTGACTTATACAACATGTGACTTATCAAGAGTATGCATTCCTTTTAACCAGAAATCCATATAAAAGGCTGCAAGGATTACCATTCTCATTCTTCATTCTCTATAACTACCATTCCTAATATGATAAGTAAACACGTGATTAAAAAGTTATTTCAATCAAATTTATGGGATTCGCATTACGAAATGAGACAAGAAATTCATAACAAGAAAACCAACCTCAAGAATTTCTTGAGCTCTATCCATGTTCCTGCACAAAGGGACATCAAACTTCACCATGGCAAGCTCATTACTCTTCCAAACAAACTTAACATCCTCCACAACCTCTTTCGTCACTCCAGCTTTCTTCACCTTAACCCACTTCCTCATTTTCCGAGCCTCACTTCTTAACCTCTCAAGCAACTCTCTCTCAAGCCTCAATTCCGCAGAACTCACTATCTTCTCCTTCTTCATCCTCCGAAACACAAAACCCTCATCCTTCTCCCATGGCATTCTCTCCCCACCACTTCTCGATTCCCCAAGCCCTTCCAAACAATCCCCAATTCCATTTTTTCCCACAAAATCTTTCTGGGTTTCTTCCGAATCGACTTTACTTTTTCTTCCAAGCTCTTCAATCCTTCTGGCAATTTTCTTGATCACGTTCTTCCCTCTACGACCCACCAACTTATCAGTGAGCCCGTTAACAGATTTTTCAGCCTTTCTATTACTGAACTTGTTGTCGTTTTCGGGTTTTGAGAGGTCGGTGACTTCGTGGGGTTGGAGAACTAGAGGACCCTTCATCCATGGAGGTGTGGGCATTTTAATGGGCTCCAATGGGGGTTTGGAATCTGGGTTTTCTTTTGTGGAGGCATGATGGTGATAATTTGTGGGTTTTGGGTTTAAGGAAGAAGAGATGAGTATGTAAGAATCGGAGGGTCGTTTGAAGTTGGAAGAGAGATGATGAGTATTTGGGAAAGTGGAAGGACTGAGGAAAAGAGTCGCAAGCATGGTGCGGACTTCACTGTGTCTCTGTTCGTTATCTTCGGTTCCCAACCGTTTCTCTCTTAACCGGCAAGGGCCAAAGAGTGCAAGGCTCGTGTATCTACTATCTATTGTTCAATTTTTGGATGACTTGCACTACTTGAATGAGAATGATTTGGGTTAAAAGGTCTTCGATTTGACTTAAAATATTGAATTTGATTGACATGCACATTTAAATTGAAAATCTATTTAGGTTTATATTTGTTTGTAAAAAATTTGAGTTGTCAATAATAAAAAGTAAAGGGGATGTAATTATTTTTCTTTAGAATTTATTATTTAAATAAGAAAAAATAATTTTTTAATTATAGGACGTAACGTGGATAAAAAATTCGTTATAATTTTTGAAATTTCAGTAGAAATTTTGACTTTTTGAGGATCCTGAAAATTTTTTCACTATAATATTGATATGGGCAAAATATTAAAAAAAATATTAGAAACATGGTAAATATCAATCGAAATATTGATATCCGCATATAGAGTAATTGGAGCATAATATTAAAAAATTTTGAGGAATTTTCAGTGAAATTTTGGAGAAATTTCAGTGAACAGAGACATGGTATGTTCAAATTTATTTTTCAACGAGCTTTGACCATACTTAATTTTTATGTGTCGATCGGGCTTTTCCTCTTTTGATATCTGCATTAGTATTCGACCTTGTGCTTATTATTATTTTTTGCTGGTGGATCTAATTGTTCTGGTCAAATTCCATTGTATTCAGAGTCATTTGCAACACGACGAGTATGTATTTCATTCCTTTGAGTAATGAAATTTCAAAAAAAAAAAAAAAAAAAACTTAGTAGTGCTAATAAATTTGTCAAAATAGACAATTTTTGTGAACTATAAAGTATCAAATTGATAAAGTACCAATCTTCACCAAAAACTTGATAAAGTACTAAGAGGGCCTGATTATTTAGGCAATATGTCATGATTTTTAAGGTTGAATTGACTTTTGTCATGGATATTAAAACAACAATAAAATATGCTACAGTTATATCATTTAAGTTTTGCGTACTAAATAAAATTATACTTATACTTTTGTGTATTTCATTTAGTATTATTAGATTTTGTGAGAATTTTGTAATTTTTTATGTATATATTTATAATTTTTATGAATTTTATAATTTTTTAAGTATCTTTAGTTGTAGTATTTCTATAATATTAATGTCTTTTAACATATGTCAATCTAAACTTAAAACTTGTGGTGTTCATGTAGAGTGCTCGTGTTCTCTTTTTGGCAAATGTGGTACCAACTTTCCTGCATATTTTCTTCGTCGAAAGAGAACAGAAGATACGGGTGCGTTTAGAATTGGTTCTAAAATGATTTTATTTAAACGTTTTTAATCTCATATAGAAATTGTTTCTGAAAATGTGTTTAGTAGTTTTATTAATAGTTTGTTTTTAGTTTAAGAAAAAACTAAAACTTTTAAAAACAAGGCATCTGCCCAAAAAAATAAAAACAAAAAATGAAAAACAACTTCAAATAGTTTTCATTTTCTAAGTGATTTTCCACTAAACTAAAAAATGAAATTGTTTTCAATTTTCTTCCCTTTTTTCCTCTAAACACGTTTTTTTTTTTTTTCTCAATCTCATTTTTTTTCTTGAAAAACGTGAAAAACATAAACGAAATTAGTTCCAAACACGCCAAGTAATTCAAGACGTCAGTCTACAAAGCAAAAGTTCAAGATAGCGCTCCAAGTTTCACCAGAAAAAGATAAAGCTCCATTTTCCTCCACAATTTAAGAGCCTCACCAAATCCACATATTTCCACCTATGGTGTAGACTAATAGTACACAAGCACTGGCAGTCCAGTCGTCATTCTACAGCTTTGCAAAACAACCCCCTAGTGTACAATAACAAAACCTTTATACATCTTTCTACCACATCAAAATATGTCAGAGTTCGTTATTCTACAGGAAGATCTATTGGCAACTCCCCCCACTTCACCTTTTTTTTCCCCACTACCTTTATGCGAACTAATAAAATTCACGTAATACATTCCAATATCATTTTTTTTTTTTTGGTGGCAATATAACTATAATAATTAAATTGTAATAAGTTCAACACTTTTCTCACAGGGGAAAGCTCTCCCGTGGTCAAAATCCCATCTCAATGAGCTTTTCAACGTTCTTTTAGTTCACCATAGCTACAAGTATCACAATTTGAAATTACAGCAAATCTGAAGAACCAAATAGGTAATCCACCTATCGCGCATCACATCACCTTCTTCGATTCATCATCAATAGGGTCACGGAGTGTTCCAAACATCCAATCCATCCATATAGTATAGTGGCCATAATTGTGTCGATACGTCGTATGGTGAATAGTGTGGAAGCCAGCACCCATTATAGGCCACAAGTTGCCATGGATGCAGTCGTGAATGTTTGCTGTCCACAAGGCCTCAATAAAAAGGAGGGCTAAGTGTGTAGTAAGTTGCACCGGCACAAGAAATAGTCCTATTACATGTGGTATTGCCTGCAGTATCCCATCTAGTGGGTGAAAAGCCAACCCTGAAGGAAATAAACTCTAGTCATTAGCTGAATAATTCGGCAAGCTTTTTGAAAGGCTTTTCACAAAATGGAATACTAAAGAATACTACCCCCTCGACTAAGGCCAAAATATGCTTCTAGATATATACAATTTGTGTTACAATTCAATTCGATGGTCGTTCAATTTTCTATGACTACTTAAACCATACGAGTTACTGCTTCCTAATTGAAGTGAACTTTTTATGCTTAAAAAGTGAATAGAACTTCATCAGAATCATCACTGCATCAATAATATAGGCAGGTTATTGAACACATGCAGATATCTAAACAATTGCTTCAAAATAACTGAGGTCCATAAAGCATGAATGAAGCTTCCGAACTTGGGATCATGATTAATCACTTAATCCCTTTAAACATCCAACCACTACTGCAGGGAAACACCACCGTACCACTTGGTAATCTGAGTTACCAATTTCTGTACCGCTGTTTTCTTAGTTATCAATTTCAGAATCTTAAAGAGAACCTTCAGAAAATCTGAGTAAATGTAGTGTCACAGACAGTCGCTGAAAGCTGTTCAAGCTACAACACATCAACGGACATATAAAGTTCAATCAAAGTGTATATGAGATTGAGCTGTGAGTAGACAGTAACATTCAAATGCAGATGGATGATGAGAATGAAATCAATTAAGTTTACATCAAGTAGAAACACAGTTAAGAATTGAAGGGAAACAGGTCAGAATAGAAGTTTTGTAGAAACATATACAATTTATATACAAATAAAATATAGAAGTTTTGTAGTATCAACATCTTATTGTTGTAACATGGTGTCAGAGCATTGGACTCGATGCTAAAAATTTATCTTTAGACCAGACCAAACAAGAAAATGATATGGACAAAATGAATTTTATAAAGGTTTCAGCTTTAACCAGCATTTCTATCCCAACATCTACAAGTTGGAACCGTTGTGTTTTCTTCACTGTCACTGATACTAATCTTAGATACATCGCTGATATGACATGTTGCCATAAGTACTCCTGTTATGCCTTTCAGACATTTTAATCACTAGCTAAAGACATTATTGAAATACTGTAATGCGTATATTTCAAAAGAGAAAATAGTGATATTCTAAAAAAGCTTATTAACCAAACAAAACAGGAACATATGTGCACATTGATACAGAATCAAACAGATCTCTAAATACAGAAACATTAGTATGAAAGTCATGTTGAGGAGGTTGAGAACTTACCGGCAAATGGAGAGAGAGTATTCTGCTTGTTGTAGACATGATGAGTAGCATGAAGATATTTGTACAAAGGTTTTATATCATGCAACTCCCTATGCATCCAATAGATTCCAAACTCCACAAATACAAGATAGATTGCTAAATAGAGGAGGTATGCAAGCCAACCAACATCGCTTATTCTCGAGAAACACTTTGTCCAGCCATTTTCAATCATGTACTCAGAGATAGATGGAAGAGCTGAGTACCATGGCATGGCCTTCATGGCAACATACATTTGCAAGAGCATGGCCTTGTTCGAGGGAATGGCATCTGCAGTTAAAGTATTGAACAAAAAAATTCCAAAAAATTATCAACATATGACCCGGTGGAACATAATTTGTCCTTAACCAATCAATATACAGGAAAGTAGTATTCCAAGTTTAAGACATCGCCACCCCATAGTTAGGGTCCATTTAATTTGCTGATTCGAGTTTTTAATTTGAATTCATATGTGACTTTATGGGAGAGCTTTTTACTGTAGCAAAACAGTTAGATGTGACTGTTTCTTAGAAATTTTTACTGTAGCAAAACTCGAATTTTAAACTCGAATCGGTGAAATGAACGGAGACTAAGGGGATGTTTGGTTGGAGGATTCAAACCATGATTTGAATCATGGTTCATGGTTTGCTATAATATTTTCTCTCACAAAAAATACACGTAAATCAAAAATGGTTCTAATCACATGATTCTAATCCATTAACCCAACGTCTCATAAATATGCGACCATTTCATAAACAAAATATCGAATACATTGTAAACAGAATGCAATTCACCAGCAGCTTTTCAGAGTCTCATTGACATGGTTATGTCATGTGCATGTTACAAGTGAATTGCAGAAACATTTCTTTAGCAGGGGAAAAAAATTAAAAAAAAAAAAAAAAAAAAAAAGAACCACATTAGAAATCCCAGTAAAAATGAACTTCCCAGACGTTGTAACATGCGAGATCACATAGAAAATCACATATTTCCCCTGCTAAAAAATCATAGACAAACTACAGATCCCCATTAAAAAAATAAAAATAACAACAATTAAAAAAGATAAAGAAAAAGAAAATTCTAATCGGTGTTCGGTGCAAATCAATTCCCCATAAACGAATTGTGAAAATAAAAAGAGATTAAAATAAAAGTCTTCCAGATCGAACAAGAAAGGCGAAGAAAACCAAAACAACACAAGAATTCGACAACAAAATTTCAGAGCTACGGTGGTGTTCCAATGAGTTTTCGAAGTCGGCGGAGAAATCGAAAACAGAGAGAAAGAAGAGGAGATTTTATGAGTATTACCTTTGGGAACATAAACGTTGCGCTTCAAGTAGTAAATGTAGAAGCACCAGAGGAAGCCAGAGAGGAAGTAGAGAGAAACGCCGCCAATGTAGTTGCGCAGCCATATCTGTAAGAAGTGGGGCAAAGGCTCCCAAAATCTCCTCGGAAGAAGGCTTCCGAGCACAATGTCGTTGTAGAATTGGCTCTCCTCAAAGAACAGCTTTAGGTACTCCGATGATTCCATTTCGATGTGCGAACAGATGTGACGATGATTTAGAGAGAGAGAGACGAAAAGGGTCGTGACACTGAACTGGAAGCTGGCATGAAAGATTCCTATTCCATTTAAGAGTTTATTTGGTGTGTTTAGATTTTTTTTTTTCTTTTTTTCTCGTATTTGCCTTGCTTTGTTCACTGCACACGCTGGGCCAGCAATACCACAGAAACCTTTCGGCCGCAACTGGGGACGAATGAAAATGAATGATCACTTGATTTTTTAGCTCTTTACAGGAATGTCACCGAGTCATCGCTTGGGTTGACTTAGATCGCAACAAAGAAAAATTATTTACATCCATATCCTCTAAATTTTAAGGTCCGCCCACATTTTACTTCCTGAAGTTCAAAAGTTTTCACTTTATCATCTTAAATTTTGAATTTCTCTCACTTCACCCCAGTTTCATTTTTCGTCAAAATTCAAACAAAAAATAGCACACGGTTAGGGCTGTAAGAAATCACTCTGAACCCGACGAACCCGGCCGAGCCGAGCCGACCCTACTCAAAAATCACAGATTTCTAATTTTTTATTTAATTTTCAGTTTTAATTATGCCTAACCCGCACTGCGCGGGTAGGGGCGCGGGGTGGGGTTACATGAACCCGAGGTAACCCTACCCGGCCGAACATGTTCAAAGTAGGTAAAACAATGTCCAACACTTCAAATTCTTACTTTCATAAGTTTATGGACTTTATGCTTTTAAACTGTTAACTTATTTATGTTTTGGATTCACGGTTTCTGTAAAAAAAATGCTTGTATGCCATAGTTGTTGAATTAGGACATTCTTTATTTATATTGAAAGTGTTTGATTTCAAAGTGAGTGTTTTAATTGTTCACCTTGCATTTAGACCTCCTATTGAAGGAAAGACATGTTCTGTTTAATAATGATTTCTTCTGTAACAAGCACAGATTAATTGACAAAAAATTGATTAAATTGATGAAGTCATAGATTAAAATTGGTTTTCACCAACCCGAGTAACCCGACCCTACCCGAGGTCACCCGAAAGGTTGCGGGTTTGTAGACTTAAGAGAGTGTCACGGCTTAAAATTTTCTCAACCCGCACTGGTCGGGTAGGCTCAATTTTTCAGCTCAACCCTACCCTACCCGGCCGATTTACACCCCTACACACGGTATACTCAAGTGGGGTTCTAAGAGGGTAAAATTAGTGAGGTCAAACGTGCCGGGCCAGCACGGCACGCTTGATCCCAGGCCCATCACGGGCCTGGGCCGGGCCTGAGAAGAAAAACTCAGGCCCGGTCCAGGCCCTTAGCCCTAGTCCATAAGGGCCGGGCCAGGCCTGGGCCCAGGCCCTTGTATTTTTTTTTTAAATTTAATTAAAAAAAAATATCATATGGCCCAAAATATGTGATTTTATTGAATTGACGTAATAGGAGTACATATAAATGACTGCCTCGTTAAAAACCTTGCTAAGTAAAACCCGTGGGGAGATCGGGACAAAACCTTAGCGAAGGAAAAAAAGAGTGCAGTAGCTAGGAATAGTAAATTACAAACCTAAGTACTTCCAGAAGATTCTGTTATTTCTAAGTTAGAAAAATATTCTTGCATCGAATCATCTGTGTATTGTTGTTTTCGTCTTCTGGTATCCTCCCAGTCTTTAACACACATTAGTCCCTCCAAGATATCTGGATGCATTCTGCTTCTCTTCTCGTCAAGAATTCGGTTGCTTGCGCTAAAAGCTTGCTCCGATGCTACCGTTGACACTGGAGTTGTCAGAATGTCACGAGCTATTATGGACAGTGTTGGAAAACGATCTGTCTTGCTCTTCCAGCACGATAAGATGTCTAGTTTGTCGTCATCGATTACAAAATTTGCTTCAAAATATTTGACTAGTTCCGTAGACACTTGTGTTGAGGACGATCCTGCTGTTTTCTCTTTCTTCTTCAAGAAACTCCACGACGATCATTTAGGCCCCCCGAACTGGTAATTGACGATGAAGTTCCCTGTTCTTTTTGACCTGTGCTATATTTTGCTTCATACAAACTAAAAACTTTTTCTAACATTTTCTTAGCGTCAGTAATACTTAGTTGCATATCTATTTTTAAATTCTCTGCGGTTGCAGTCATCAATGATTCAGTTCCATCTACTCCGCACCTAGGAGTAGGATAATAAACTCCATAAAGTAATTCAGTAGCATTGTAAAAAACTTCTAAAAATTTAAAAAAAATACTCAGCAATCTGCCAATCAGGATCGAAAATTAAAATTTGATCGTTCTTACTGTTTACGTATGTCGTGATAAGCTGTGAATACGGGAGTGCTGCCTTTAACATTAAATATGTTGAATTTCACATATGTCTCACGTCAGTTGAAAACTTTCTTGGGCGCATCTGGTTGTTCTTGTAATATTATTTGAATTCTTGGAGCCGAGCTCCAGAACTAGATATGAAGGATAATGATTCTCTAATATTTGTAAGATTAACTGAGATATGTTCAATTCCTGCCTGAACTAATAAATTAATTATGTGACATGCACACCGTTGATGAAAAATTTCCCCTCCAAATGCCGGTTTCAAACTATGTTTAAACAGATTAATTGTAACTATATTAGCTGACGCATTATCAAAAGTAATTGTTAAAACTTTATCTTATATCCCATAAAACTCAAAAATTTTCATTATTGTACTAAAAATAACTGTTGCGTTATGAGGATATGGACATAAACGAAAACCAATTATTCTTTTTTGTAAACCTAATCGTCATCAACGTAATGCGCTGTGACACATAAATATCCAGTTTTATTACACCCCTCCCACAGATCAGAAGTGCAAGACACAATAGCATTAAAAGTCCTAAAATTATCAACAAGAGATTGTCTCATTGCATAAAAAACTTTCATGCAATCAGAACGAGTTGTGTTTCTACTTACCCGTTTAAATTGTGGGCAAAAGGCTGTCTGGATGAATTCTTCGAATGAGGCATCATCTTCAAAAGAAAGAGGCAATTCGGCACTAGCTAGAAATTTAGCTAGTGCCTCACGAGCACGTTGTGCATCGTATGTAAAATATTGTAACCCATGTGATGTGAGTGATAGTGTTTGTTGGCGGGAGTCCACACTCCCACCTTGGTGCAATGGTAGACATACTTTCTAATGTCTATCTAGATGACCAGTACTCCCACCCTTTTTATTAGAAAAGTGCTTTTTATAATATTTACATACCGCACGAATTTCTATCTCACCTGTTTTTGGATTTGGTCAGGGCTCCTCGGTGAAATACTGCCATGCCGGAGAAGTTCGCAGTCTTTCTTCTCTACTGCGTTCTCCAGCTTCCTCTTTGTATACTGAAGCATTATCCACCGAAGCATTTTCTGGTTCAGTAGGGGTGGGGTTGGAAGGCATCATTTCTTCCTCAAAAAATGTTTCCTCACCAAGCTCAGGGAGAGTAGTGAAATCAGGGAAGTTTTGTGAGGCCATTTTCTGGAAATTAATTGAACTTTATAAATGAAAGAGCTAGAAAATGAATGAACGCGAGAAAAAAGCTTAGAATCAAAATCAAAGAGACAAGTTGAGAGATAGAATGAGAGTGAGATGAGAAGATGAGAGTGAATTGTTGTGTGGGATTTATGGTGGAATTAAGGGGTATTTATAGGGGATTTTAGGGTTGAAATTCAGTTTTTTTTCCGTTGGGCCCTTCGCGGGCCCAACGTGCGGCACGTGATGTGCCTCCCGTTTGGCCCATCACGTGCCAAACCGGAGGCACGTGACGGGCCAAATGGGAGGCCAGTCACGTGCCGAACGTTGGGCCCACGAAGGGCCCCCTGGACCAAATGAAATGGACTCTTCGTGGGCCGTTTCGCGGGCTTGGGCCGGGCCGAATCAGGGCTTAGGCCGAGCTGAATAAGGGCCGTGTCGCGGGCCTCCATGTGCTTGGGCCGCGGGCTGAGAAGTTGAGGCCCAACCCTAGTCCATTACACGTGCCATGCCAGCACGGCCCGTAACAGTAACGAACCGGGCCGTACCGAATCAGGCACTATTACAGGCTGGGCCGGGCCATCCATGGACGGCCCGGCCCATTTGACACCTCTAGGTAAAATCATAATTTAAATTTTTAGTTATTTACAATCGTGCCCTTTAAACATTAATGTCATGCTGAACTATGTCAAACTTTGAATTTCTCCAACTTTGTTTCCTCTGCATCTGCTTGATTAGGATTGGTACTCGCCCACTCGCATTGTGACGACCCTACTGGGTGGCAATCACCGTAGCTTAACTTTTTAACTTGTACTTACTGGGGTTTCTTAAAATTTGCGGAACATTTTTTTTTTAAATATAAGAAGGAATAAGTTTATAACTCGTAACTATAATTGCAAAAGAATGAATCACTAAATTTCTTAAAGCTTTTCTTAATTTCACTTAAGATAAAACCTTCTAGAAATATCTTTCAAACGGAGCAGTGTTTGAACTCTTATTTCAAATACTCTTTAAAAGCCTTTCTAAAACTAGCCAACTCCATCGGCCATCTAATTTGACTTTAAAACGGATTTCGAGAGAAATCTTAAATTCAATTACATTTTTAAAGTCCTTTTAAAATCAATCGTCACGTTTAAAATTCGTTTAATTGTTGCATGCACTGTTGCAACGTTATAAAACTTTAAATACTCAAGACTAGGGTTGTTGGCTACAACCTCGGTTTCCTTCATAAATATGTACATATACTTTTCAAACATACATGCTTGAAACTTTTGAATCATTTAGACATATACATGATTTTACTTAAACTTACTGTGGAAGATTTAAATGTTAGCGGTATCCATTCTCATCTCCACCATTCGTCCGCCGCTCGTCATTGCCCTTCAAGAATTGCTGATAGGTTTCTTACCTATAGTATGAACATATCGGATTGAGCTTTCACTCAACAAGCAGGAACTATCTCTCACAAAATAACTGTGAGTACACATGAATAAATATGCATGAGCTGATTATGCTTAATTATGATGTCTTATCGTAGTCTTATTATCTTATCTTATATTTTCTTTCTTTCTTGTGGGCCCGAGTGCTCGCGTACCATTTGCGCGCAATCATCGGGACGTGAGGGTTTGCAAGGTCCCCCACAACACCGTGATTATAACTTGAATGCCTCACTTGAATCGAAGGACATTATTATTTTGTTTTCTTTCTCCCTTGTAGAGCTTGAGTTACCTCCCTTGTGGAGGCTGGTACGGCACTCAACTGAGATTATTCTTATAAGTTCCTC